ATCTGCGGAGCTGGAAGATGAGAACTGGCGACTTTGTAGTACAACTTCAGTACGCGGAGTATCTGCGGAGCTTGAAGATGAGAACTGGCGACTTTGTAGTACAACTTTAGTACGCGGACTATCTGCGAAGCTGGAAGATGAGAACTGGCGACTTTGTAGTACAACTTTAGTACGCGGAGCAATCTGTGGAGCTGGAAGCTGAGAACTGGCGACTTTGTAGTACAACTTTAGTACGCGGAGTATCTGGGGAGCTGGAAGATGAGAACTGGCAACTTTCTAGTACCACTTTAGTACAAGCCCCAAGCAGCATACATCCACCCACCCACTGATACACACTGACGAACAAGCGCATACACACAAACACACACACACACACACCTCACGTACACACAGAGACCCTCACGCCTTATATCTGTTTCGCCTGTCTCTTCCCCATGCTCACTCTTCCGCACTTTACCCCTGCAGCCTCAATCTTTCGAAGTTGTTCACATGTGGGGTTATCCGGCCCTATAATTTCTTTTGGTTGCTGTATAAGGCTTTGGTGGTGACCAGTTGCAAAACAGCCTGAACTGTTCTTTGGGCAAGCTCAAGGTGGGAATGGCAGCTTGATGGACAATGTGGAAACATTGCCCATGGATCTTGACCTGAACGCTGCAGTTGAGCTTCCAAAGGTCGAGGATCCAGATTCCCAACCTCAGGACGGTCAGGGCTTCGTGGAAGCGCGCACGCTTGAGTATGTCTGCAACCCCGAGGAGGCCAAACACTGCAAAGCCATAAAGTTTTTTTCAATTATACACCTTATAGTCGACACCAAGGGAATTCTCACAGTGGGAGGTGAATGCAACTATATACTTTCCCACAGGCATCACTTGTCCAGTATCAAGCGGGTGTGTGGGTTGTGTTCTGTTGGTGGAATTTGAATTGTTGAGGTCTGTTTTGTATACTTCTGATCGGGTATAGGTGCATGTGGTCATCACGAGTTCATTGACTGTAGGTGCTGACCCGCAGAGATCAGCTTGACATGAAGGATGCCATGAAGGCAGCAGAAGGTGAAGGCGAGGCAGGGGCACCTGCAGTTCAGAAACGCAAGAGGGGCCAACCAAAGACAAAAGCCTCGCCAAAGAAGAAGACCTCTCCGAAGAGGAAGGCTACCCCGAAGAAGAAGGCTACTCCAAAGAAGGGGTCCAAGGGTCGTGCCAGAACCAAAAAGCAGCCGACGCCGCCTCCAAATACTCCACCCCCACGTGAGAGGGATGAGGTGGATGACATGCCCGCTCCCAAGCGTCGGCTGAGGAGAATGAGGGTGAAGAACAGCAGGCTGATGGTGTTCCTACTGCTGCTGGGGGCTCTGCACGTCAGGCTCAGCAGGTGAAGGTGAAGTTGTCACCCTTGGCCAAGGGGCAGGCCAAAGCTCGTGCTAAGGCCAAGGGCAGGCCAAGGGGAAAGAAGGCTGCTCAGCCTGAGCTCGACGCAGAGCAAGAGGCTCAGCTGAAGGATGATGTCATCAAGGGTGTCATTCTGCAGGTCTTGAAGTCAGCTGAAGCTTTACCGCTTGATGACCTCAAGGAGCATTTGTATGGGAAGTCCACAGCCGGGAAGGGCAATTCCAGGCTCAACCCTTACTGGACGAAGAAATCGGGCGGTGTCAAATTGGCCTGCTATCCGGGAAGCCCTGAGATCGGCTACTTCGCCCCTGGAACGCTCGCATGACTGCAGCATTTATGTCATCGTGCCTGTTTGCCGATTGCCATGTTTCAGTATTTTTTGTTTGTTATAAGTTCACCCAATGACTGTCAACTCATCGGCATTCCACCGGTTTAAAGGCATAACTATACAGGTTCTATCCTAAAAAAGGGTGTGTGTGTATATATATGTCCTCTTGGTCCCCCAGGCCAACATATATTATATATATATAGTTATATAGTTTTCGGGGTCACCAATCCACCAATCCCCTGATACAGCAGGGTTTATTTATATGCATTTAAACACTGACCCCAATTGTATATATCCGACCCCTCAAAACTGCTCTAGTTCTGGAGGCCTCGTGGATGGATGGCCAGCCCTTGGATGTCCTGAAAGACTTTGAGAACCCGGAGTCTCTTGTGCAATGGGAGATTTCCAAGATTCGGTTCAATGCAATGGTCGCTCTGAAGGAATGGATTGGCAGGGTGAGTGTGTGAAGATGCTTTAGGATTTGCACCAGTTCCACCAATTTGTGGAAAGCGTAGCCCTCCTTTCTATATAAAACACAAGTGTTTTGGCTTTGCTTGCGCGTGCCTATAGTTATATAGAAACACTCCCAAACACAAACTGTTGTTGCTTATATAAAATGGAACTTTTGTGCAAAGTGGCTTCTGAGCATGACTTGCTCAAGTTTTTGTGTGGTGGGGATGGTTCTTATCCATTGCGGCCTGACCCGTCAATGGTGAAGCAAATCTGTCTGACTTGCATGGAGCCTTGTGGGGTGAACCTCACACCAATCCGAGATACGTGAGCGCAATGAAAGGAAAAATCGGGGCTGAAAAGCTTTGGAAGAATCGAGGCAACAAAAGTAAACAACTATATGTGTCCAACGTTTTCATCATCGACCGATCGAGGTACTAACATAAATAGTAACTTCTAGTGGCAACTTTCTGCATCTATCTATATATATGGGTGGAGGCGGTGTAGGTGTCCTGTATACGATATATGTGCATTTAGACGGATCGATGAACCTCATTTACTGTGACTACATGTGCCCAGTGCCTCTCCGAGGCCCACGCGTGATCAAGAACCGTTGGGCCATCAAGAAAGGATGGGTCCAGCGGTCCAGTGGCCTGCCTTGTTTATTTATGCGATTGCTCATTGTATGCAATCAGCTTTTGGAATGCAGGGTCCCAAGCACGTATATATGCATGTGCATGTATGAACTTCCCAAAGGACTGGGTTGAGAGTCTGATGATAATGTAAGCTTAATATGCCGATATTATCAAGTGCATGCAGCATGCAGGTATTTTCTTTTCAGCTCGATCTTTTTACTGTAGGCTTATATATATATATATATTCAGCAAGTTTGGTGGCTTTGATCGAAGTGGACATGAGCGTTATGTGAAACTTCGATATTGCAGTCGGACGTGTGCGATGCACCTGCCCTCGGCCCCGGCTATCCTTCCGAGCCACGGCGCGCAGAAATGAATCCCATTTGCTTCCTCAGATGCTCAAAGTAGGCACTGCCTATAAGTTGGAGTGAATGTGTCGATTAACGCCTACTATGCATGGATCAGAAGTCTTGTTGTGCACTCACACTGGTTGCATCAAGAATCTTAATCAAGGGTGAAGCTGTGCTCCAACTTGTTTTCTTGTTTGTTTGGGGTCTTACAACTCTCCGTGGAGTGTGGCACTCTTTACTCCAGCCATGGACCGTGGGAAAGAATATGTTGACCAGTTGGTGTGGCGGCTCATGAAAGTCTCGGCACCGAAGGCCTCAGGGTCTGAAGGTTTTTTTGGCCGCAGTTCAGAAATACATGTATAATGTGTGATTAGGAATATCTGCGTCCAATGGAGTATTTACACAACACGGCTTTCATATGACCATGTTTATGCCTCATATAATCTATGTGTATATATGGCAGCCATATATATATATGACATGGCGAGTTGCAGCCGCTCGCAGGTCATGGTCCTCCTTGTCCTCACGACCATATGGTCTATGGATAGCTTGCCAGAAGAGCTGAACCTTCAGGACCTTTGGTGCGAGGGTTTACCATTTATAGATTGGGCCCGGCATGCATGGCAGTCTTTTGGAACTCTCCCAGCTTGTCTGGTTGAACAGATCGATACAACAAAATCAATCTAGAGGTTTCCATGATCCAAACCGTATTTCACAAATGGTTTGGATGTATTTAGGACTTCAAGGGGTTTATTGCAGTCGCTCGGCCAACTATGGTTGTATTTATCATATGACTATTAATGAAGAATGCTATATATGCACAACCTTGTATAGGAGTGACCCTCAACCCATGAGTAGTGACTAGAAACAAATCTCGAGGGAACCCAAAGATGCCTAGAAACAGTGTGAACTACGGCAGGCATTGGAGAGGCTACAGTGGTGCGAATTCTTTGCTGGCCAAGCAGAGGCAACAAAGGCCTTCAAGGCCAACCGATTCACAACAGCTGACCTCTTGTACATGAACGCAGCCCCTGGAAAACAAAACCCTATGGATATTTGTTCAGATGCAGGCTTTGTGACCCTTGATTTTGTTTTTGTTGGCAGGTCCTATATGATTTAAAAAAACATTGGGACCTTACTAACCTTACACTTGGATCCACACCAAACAATCCTAGCCCCAACCCAGGACTGCAATCGCCACAGTACTTATGGGGGATGACATCACTGGGCGGTTATGCCACTTTGGCCTCAAGTGTGCAAAATTTACAACCATCAATACCGGGACGAGTGGACGTTCAGCCTGCTCGGCCATTGGCAACCTTCATCACCGTAGTGTATTGGAAGGAAATCGGATGGCAAGTCGGAATCTTGGTCCCTAAACGGTGTGTGGGTTGAGTGGAGTCTATACATGACTATGGGATGTGAAGTACTTAGTGGAATATAACCTTGCACGTGTGTCGAAGCATGGATCAATTCGCAAGAAAAAACAACACAGTTTACTTTGAACACAATCACGCAAAAGGATGTCATTCAATTCGTGTGCAACCAATCTGTTTGCTCTTGAAGGGTGTTGGAATTGGGGGCCTGATTGTTCTAAGGGTTGTACTATTGATCCTCCTCGTTGTATGCTGCAACGGTACGTTCTTACTGGAACAGCCTGCGCAAAGCTTTCTTGAATACTACCCGCGCTTTCGTGACTTGCTAGAAGCTTTGGCATCGACTGGTGGTCGGCACTGTGTTCCTCGTCTTTTATATTAGCAAAGCGCCGTGAATATGTTATGTCAGGGTGGATGGTGTTGCGTGTATATAGTGGATATCGAGATCCAACAAACACTATAATGTTATTCCAACGTAGTCGGGTTGAACATCCACCCCAAGTCTGACCTTTACCTGCAACACCCATCTTTCATATGGTTTGTTACTGCCCAGGTGCACCGCATCGAGTGGTGGATGCGGCTGTATGGAGGTGATACCCCGAAGAGACATTGTTGCCTACTCCAACAGCCGAGCCATTCGCTCGATTGATCGTGGCCCTTTGCAAGGCTGGACACGACATGTCCAGGCTCAAGCGAAGGCGGGTGTGGATCGGGTCAAGACGGCGATCAAGTACCAAGACAAGTCAGGCAAATCCCGCTATAAAGGAGCTGGTGCTGCATTGAAAGCTACAGAGTGAGGAACTTATTTGTTAAACATGTGTCGGGGAAGATGTTTCTCGAAAAGGCCGAAAAAAGACTTCCAAACAACTTCTGTTCTGTCAGCACGTGTATATATGACAGCAGGTTGGGAGGTGAAACAAACAACAACTATATATATAATTCATTGCAGAAGTTATATATGGTAAAGGGTGTTAAGGAATACCTCGTCTTCCCAAACAGTGTGTTCCCCATTCTGATCGAGGAATTATCCCAGGGAATTTGGGGACAAGCTGGTGGACATATACTCGGAAATGATTGCGCACAAGAGTGGAATGCCAGTCCTCCCTGAGACCCTTCCAACGGCAGAGCAAACTTTTGAACAAATGGTGTTCGATGATTTGTGGGCTGATGCTCACCTTCAGTCTGTTGTCCAGTGGCTGCGTGGGAGCCAGGGACTCAGAATCCCTGAAAGCTTCCGAGCGCTTTTGCCGCCAAGACTCTAGAAGCTTGTTCCAAGTGATAGCTGGTACATGTGGTGCATATAAGAACCAACCTTGGTTGTCAGGGAAACCTTTTGAGATCCTGTAGGACTTCTATCCAACTATGTTCAATGTTGTTCACTTCAAACCCGTATTTACACGTACTTAGCAAATACCAGGTAAAAACAATACATTACCAGGATATTTGTCGGGTCAACCCGTAAAAAATATGGGATGAAACGACCCCGTACTAATACCGTATTTTACCCATAAAATTCCGTACTCCACCCATAAAAACTTATGGGTGGAAATGGAAATAACCAGGTTTTTTTAAAGCTCATATATAGGTGTTTTTGTTGCTCCCCAAAGAGTTTTTTGTTGAACTGGCAGGGACGAGCTTCAACTAGTTCAATCTAATTCGACTACTAATTCGACTCTGTTGCTATAGCAACATGGACATATAGAACACCAGATCAGGTCTCCACAGTGGCTCTGGACAAATTCTAGGACATGCATCGAGAATTTGTGTTTTCCTTGGCAACATGTTCAGCAAACCATACTTTGTATAGCTTATACCTACTTTGCGGAGCATTTGGCTTAGAACTTTCAATCAGGGACTCGGATTCATCTCATTTTGTAGAACCTGTCATGGCTTTTATGAAAGCTGACTCTTTTGCAACCTTGAAGTCCAGGGCTTGGAGCACATCCGAGCTGGCCGTGGGACTTGGCCACATCCTCACAGACGGTCGGCTTGAAGAGGTCGATGATGTTGCCCCATTCCAGGAGACCACAAGTTCAATCTTCCTCAACTGAATAACTGTTGTGCTTTTTGACCACAAAGTTCAATACCATAACTGTGCAGTTCCACACACGGGTTTTGTCTGCACAAGATTCATCAAAGATCATCAAAGTGTGTGTAGTTTGTTTCGAGTTGGTAATGATTTCAGGAGCTGGAGGGGATCCTAGCTGATTTGGAGGCCAAGCAATCTACGGTGCAGGGCTGAATCCGCATACTGTTGCACGCTACTTGTGCATGGGGTCTCTAAAAACATAATTTGCCTCAATATGAACTGCACACTCTACCTTTAGGACGCGGCTATGCAAGAGTTGATGGCAGAGCCTGCACAAGCATCTAGGCTTCACAGGGTAGTTTGAAGGGATACTATACTATATAAGGAACATACCAAAAATCTTTCGACATATCGGTCAGCGTCCTCGAATCTGTAAATTGGTTTTGCATATGCACTGTCCCCAGCCTGTCTTTCAATGACATTTGCCTCTAATTTTTGTCTACCAGCTCCCTGAAGATAAGGCAGCTCCACCGGGGGAACACTGAGGAGACAATGCCAGCGACCGAATCGCAGGTTGAGAGGTCACTGTCTGGGAGTGTTTCAGGCCAGGGCAGGACTCAAGGTGAACGCGTCGCTTCTCCGGAACCTTCGCAAGCATCGTTCTCTTTGCCTTCGCGCTCTTCTGCTACTACAGTGAACAATGGCAAGGCCGATTCCGACTATAAATAATGTATATATACTATAATGGGTTGGAAATCCTTAGCCCCAAAAAGGACAAACTAATCTGGATCCATGCACCTGCATGTATATTTTTTGCACCTGCTACTGGGCCTGTGGTGGAGTTCTGAATTGGTAAGGCCATGCATATATACACTAGAGCGATCGACCTCTACAGCGGCAGGTGCAGCTGGTGGTGAGCATGTTCAAGGAGGGCCGACTTGATGCCACCACGGCTATGGAACTCATGGCTGGGAGTTTGGAGGATATGGCTACTCCCATGAGTAGTGATGATAAGGCTGATGACCTGTCAGAGAATCGTAAGAGGCCTCACCCAGAGGAAGAAGTCTTAGAGGAGCATGCAACAACTGGTGAAGGCGACCATGTGGACACTTGTCTCATATAATATACTGCATGACTACCAATTATATATATACAATCACTGTTTCTGACCTTCAAAGTCAAGTTCTCCCGTTGGGATCTGCAGGGTTGTCACCCATTTCATTTACCGGGTGTATGCTCGATCACTTTGCACCAACATTGAGGACAAGAAGGAGGCCAACCGGTTGAAGGCCAAGCTACGCCGCATGTGCGAAGAGAAGGCCAACGGCCGCCTGCAGGTACCTGAGTGGCTCCACCAGCAGTGGAAGACACGTGACCATCTTGAAATGGCTTTGGAGCTCAAGCGTTGTGGATTTGATAAGGTGCTGGCATTCACACCAAGAAGTTGTTGAACGTTGGAGTGAACCATGGATCCCTGGATGTGTATTATAGTTGTTTCTCCCAAGTTCTGTGCAGGGCAAGTTTGCGAAGTCTTGCGCCAAAGTGGTCACCACCAAGGAGTCGGAGAAAACTAACGTCTCGCAAGGTTGGTATACAAAGGAGGACATGAACACCATTTTGCGATGGCCAGCGAGCCTCATTTGGAACCATGTATTCCTGGTGTTTGGCAAGCATGTTTTTATGAAATGACCCCCTAATGAGTTCGATCTGAGTAGTCTCCATGGCATGATCCTTTAAGGAAGAAGATTGAAGGTGCTGTGTGCCTCTGTGAGCAGGACAGGGCCAATTTGGTAAGGCGGGTTCAAGGGCCCCGACAAGCCCCAAGTGGAAACCTGCGGGTACCATCAAAAATAGCCTCTCCAAATCTCTCCAACATGTATACATGCAAGTTCTATACAAGTACGTTTTACTATAGCGCTGCATCATGTTAAGGGTGGCTCTTTCCCCTTGTTGTACCTTCCTTGTGTTTGCACTGTCATGCACAGGAACAACTGCCGCTTTATACATGCATGAACAACTGTGTATAGCTACTGTTTTGTTTAAGGCTTCACGTCTGTATATGTAAAATGACTTCCACCTCGTGCTCTTTGGTCCCTGCCTGCCATATATATTTGCGCCACGCCGACACCCCGTACACGTTTTCCTCTTCTGTTGTCTTGCCAAAATGCGGCTCTGCTTGCAGGTGCTGTAAATATGGAGGTGACGATGAGTATTGGGTGGATATCCGTGAGACCGGAGAGAAGGGCCAGGAAAAGTCCAAGACCAAAGAACGCAGGGAAGAGTGTGAGGACTGCGTGGGTTGTGTGGACTGTTTTTTTCCATCCCAGTTCGCACTGCAGCCACCCACCCTCATTCTTGAATCTTGGACCCATCCTGTGCCAAGAGGCGTCATCATATATGCAGTTGTCGTCTCCAAATGTTGCAGGATGCTGATGATGACGAGCCCATTGGTGAGGTCAACACTGATCGCCTCAAAGCCATGGCTGCACGTGAGCAAGCAATGGCGAGTTCGGGTTCAGTTCAATCTTCGGAGGTGCTCAGTTGAGCATTTGTGAATTTGCGCACACCTGCAAGACATTAACGATAATATAGCTTTGGATCAAATGCAACACTTTTGTTTTATGCATGTGTTAATTGTTTGTATTGTTTGGACCTGGAGGCCATGCGTCGGAAGAACACGTACACCAAGTTTTGCGACTCCCTTCTTCAAAAGTCTGCCAAAGTACGTTCTTTGGTGACAGACTTGAAGAAGAACTATGAATCGGATCCCTGCGTTGATAAGCCAAAGTCTCAGAGTGTGCAAACCAAGGATCGGGTAATGCCAGCATCTTGATCTTGCCAGTTTTGCAATGCGCCTTGAGGTCGATCAAGGCCTTGGAGCACGATCTGGACACCCTGGAGGACAACTACAACAAGTGTAGTGAAGAACTCGCTACAGGAGAATCAGTTGGTTACACTGAAATGTGCCTAGCCTGATTTGTTCTTTGGAGATGTTCATTCATGGAACGGATCGAGTTCAGGAACGATCTATAATTTAGCGCCCACAAAAAACATTCTTATAGACGTCGATATATTGTCAGAGAACCTGGTCGTTGCACTCACTGCAAGGTGGGTGACCAAGTTCGAGAAAACCATGAAGGAAACAACCTTTGCGTGCCTTGGCTTCTGCGATTAAATGCACCGAAGTGCAGATCACAACTTGGGTTCACATATGTTCACATATATGCATGCACTTTGAATTTCAACTTTGAATCCCCGTATGGATCTCGAGTTCGTTTCTGTCAGTTGCCCCCAGGTGCACGAAGGTGGTGCAGAACGAGGCCAAGATTCGGTGGAGCCCTCATTGATCTTTGAAACGATGGGCAGTGTGGACCGCTATTCACCTAGGATGTTCGTACACACGCAGTCACCGCAAACGATCGTGCCACGTATACCACTTGAGGAACGCAAAGCGTCACTTCCGGAAAGTGCCCAAAAAGGAGGAGTCGTGAAGACTTGGGTTCACTCATGTCTCTGCGCCGTGATGGTTGTGTTTTTCTTCATTTGGCACAGCCATCGGAAGGTAATTCGGAGAGGGTCCAAGTTGTGGGGTCCGATCGATGTCCAGTTCCAGGGTAGATATATAAGCCACACATTTCGATCTGCCGGGAACTTAACACATGCAGGAAAGCGTGATGAGAAAGTTTTGTTCAGAAAACCAGCAAAATCAATCCACATGGTCTTCGTTCACTATACATGTGCAAGGGTTACTGTCTTCAGTTCTGTATCCTGTTATTGATATATTTCCAAAGATTGTGTTGATTGTTTCGGTATACGTTAAGCTGCTGTGTGGGACAAATACTATAGTATGCAATTTGGGTTTGAGATGGAGCTGCTGCCGGTACATGGCAGCCAAGCTCAACAAAGAAAGACACGTGCAGGGGTGAAGCAAAAGATCTCTTCGGAATGTTTTGCGAACACATGGACGCTACTTTTATTCATGCACACTGAACAGAAACAACTCCATCTTCAACTACCATGTTCGAGCCAGGTCCTGGCCCAACAGCCAAAATTTTTGCTAAGAACCTGGGCGAAGGGGCCTGGTCCTCAGCCCTTGCAGAACAAGGAGCTTGCGGTTCTTTGAAGTGCAATCACCCACGAGCGGCCATCGCCCGTTGCACATCAGGAGTTGTATACGCATGTGTGGATCCTATACACGCTGTGACCGTTCCATCTTGACATTCTATAGGTTTCCTGTCCCACCAAACTATTGAAATTTCAAAAACTCAAAGAAAAGGAGTCAACAACTAATATTATCTTCTCAAACATAGTGCCCCCTGAACACAGATCTGAAGAAAGTGCCATGGAAACCTCCGACGACGAGCTTCTTGACTTGCTGACGTGTCATCGCTCAGTCCTTCAGCGCAAATAACTTGTATATGTTTGTGCGTGTCAAGCTGTTGTTGCTTGTCTGAAGCTGGCTTGAAGCTGGCTTCCACGTTGTATACGCCGCTTTCGATTCATACACCTCGCAGTATATATGCATGAGGCATCTTTGGTACCCTACGCATGGGAGTCCACCACCAGAGCTCCAAAGGATGCGTCTGACTCCCCTGAAGAAGTGCAACAGCCAACAAAAAGGACTGGGGCATACGGCAAGTCATTGTTTTCGATTCTGATGTCACTCATGTCTGATGGGAATCAAAAACAGCCTATATGAAGCTTCCATGCAGGACCTCGCTTGTGATGGTCTACATGCAGCATGAGGACTTCAAACATCTTGCCCGTACCCGTTCTGTGTTCGACAAGGTTGAGGCTGATCCTTTCTTAGGGTTTTCTCTGTCAAAGCCTAATTCAACTGCTGGCAAGGTGCTGGCTCACTCAGCTAGCGTGTTCAAGGCCTGTTACAGTAGGTTCTCACCGATGACCTTCAAGTTTGGGATTACTCATGACCCGTGTTGCAGATTTCACAATGAGCTCTGGGGATACAAGCATTCTTTTGAAACCTTTGAACGTATGGTGGTCGTCTACGTGGCAGCCAACCCACATGGACCTGCTTTCTTGGAGGCTGCTTTGATTGATCGCTACAACAGTTCCATGGCTCGCCATGAAACAATTAACTTGCAGGTTCACTGTTTCCTATCGCGTGTCTACCAAACAAACTTTTGCACTTTCTCATCATTGCCATCCAAGGTTGGAGTGGATGCAAGAATATCAAGTCCGGAGGTGACGCCTACAACAAGGATCTTTTTGGTGAAGGGCCATATTTTACCTACCTTGTGTATAGATCTTTTAACATCCGCCTCCAATCCCGCCTCGAAAGTGATGGTGGATTGCCTTTGTGACACTGTCCCATAGGCTACTTTTTGCGGTGTTTGGACGATTGGCGCAGTTGTTGATTACCAACTGTGCTGTGCGGGTTTCCTGCCATGAATTTGTAGACACATTTCATTGCAAGGTGCTATACGAGGAAAAAATAACTTACTTGATCGATGGGCCTGTCAAGGTGTTTTTTTGGCAATATGCCATGCAAATGAACATTGGCACATGCGCACCCTCGAGTGTTCATGCATAGACCTGCTGCAACCGGCAGTTGAGAGTATGGTTTTGATACGATTGATACCTGCTTCCGCCTAGGCCTCTTCTTCTTCGCAGATCCGCACAGCGAAAGCTGTTGCTGAAGAGCTTGGCGAAGCTGCAGCGAGTGAATCTGGTGTTTTTGCTTGGGCAAAGGTCAGAACAAAAGATAGTGAACGAGGTACGCAGCGCATTGTTCGGAAGCAGCAAACAACCATGCAAGTCCCCATCACAGACCTTGATGTTCTGGGGCAGAGGGTTGCTTGGATCGATCCGCAGGCCTGGCTTCAGTACATTTTGGACCATGGACTCCTGTACATGTTGAGTGGTCTTATACGAGGAACGACATCGAACAGGTGAAGTTTGGGAAGAATTTTGGCGCAAGTACAAGATTCTGAACCCTCATTTTAGCTTTTTCATTGAGGAAGATGAGGGTCAGCGCAAGGACTACTCGAGAACAATTGCCTTTTACCTTCACGGTGACGAAGGCCGGACCCTTAAAAAGGGCGGCCTGATGACTACGTCGCTACAGAGTGTTTTAGGTACTGGCTTTGCTGATAAACGGCTCAAAGCACCCAAGGATACAACAAGTTTGCAATGCAACTACAGTGGGCATACCTTTTGCATGCGTTTCGTAGTATCAGTCATCCCCAAGACGGCCTATGAGTCCAATGCTGCCTTTTTTGAGAAGGCCATGGATGCAGTTGTCCAGTCTTTGGGAGCTTTGTTGCGCGATGGGCTGACGCACCCGCTTACTGGGGAACGCTTTTTCTTCGTTGTGCTGGGAGTGAAAGGAGACCTTCCGTATTTGCAAAAGCTGGGAAAATTGAACAGAAGCTGGAACACCACTTCAAAAAAGCGAAGCAGAGGAGGACGGCTTGCAGGGGGCACATGTCACCTGTGCCTAGCTGGCACTGCTGGCTGTCACGCGGAGGAGATTGTGGATCACCCTCAATGGGAACTCACCATTGGTGTTCGCCAACCATGGCTCCGGACACCATTCATTGTTCAGCATTTGTGCCACAACCTCTCCAACCCAGCATCATTCTTCAAGCATGACTTGTGGCACAGTGTGCATCTGGGGCTTGGAAAATCCTTTGTTTGCAGTTGTTTGCAGATTGCGCTGGAAGTGGTCCCGGCCACGAACAATGAAGATCGGTTCAGGTGGCTCACCAACCATTACAGGGCATGGTGCAAAGACACTTCTTCACAGCCACATGTGACAAAGATCACACCGAGCCTCATCTCGTACGGAGAGAAGACAGGCGCTGCTGGAGCGTGGCGCAAGGGAGCGTTGACGACGAATCTGATGCGTTGGATTGTGGTTCTTGTCAGCGCTCTCTCGAGTGACAAAGGTGGTTACCTTTCTCTTTGCGCCACAGCTGCAGTGAATTTGAACGAGTTCTTTTCTTGCCTCCACAATGCGCCACTGTTTCTCAGTGGGAATGAGGCCACATACCTTGCAGGAAAAGGGATGACATTTCTCAAGATCTACGCGAGGTTGGCTTTGGACTTGTTTCGAGAAGGACGGCCGCATCTTTTTGCTTTGTACCCCAAGATACACGTGATACATCATTTCCTGTGGGATATGCGGCAAGAGGCTGGTGACCACAATCTCAGCCTCCACCCGCTCAGCGCTGCGTGTCAAATGGACGAAGATCTGGTAGGCCGGGTTTCCCGGCTTTCACGCCGTGTCAACATCAGGGCCGTCATCCAGAGAACGCTAGAACGTTATTTGATTGGCTGCTATGCAGCCTGGCGTGAGGCAGGACTGATCTAAGGGGAAGACGTGGGAAAACAGTGCAGCCTAAGACTTTGAGCGTCGTTTTGGTGTGTGCATTCCACATGTTTTTGCCCTGTGCCACCTTTAGTGCGCCCTATATTCCAAAACCAGTTCACCCAGAAACCTGGTTTTTTTTAATGAAACTTGGTTTTCCATGGAGAAACCTGGAAAAAGTAGGCGAAGGCGGCAGCAGGTAGTTTGTTGGCGGCTCAGCACAATCACTACATGTTCGGCCATGTTTACATGGTTGTTGTGAGCGCTACGACACATACTCTAGAATCCTAACATGGCAGTTGACGCAAGTTGAGCGATGTTGAAATATGTTGACCACTTTCAGGCAGTTCATATGCAGTTGATGTCTCTCTACAGAATCTTCCCGATGCAGGTGAATGGACATGAATTAAAGAAAAACACACAGGGAAAGAGATAATACATAAACTCATATACCCTAGAAGTAAAGGATATGTCTTTTAGGTCACTTAGTCCGACCAGTCTTATTGTTTTTGTAGTCTTTGACTCCCAGGGTATGTAAACCCCCAGGGAACCTTGGTCCGTTTCGCGTTGCAGGCGGCAGCTGCGACGGAGCATGTGGAGCCGGCAACACATGTGATCCAGCGCGACAGAGGGCACTTCAAGGTGTCGCACTGAGGGCGGTGGCCACCGGTTTGGGGCGGAGCTGTGTTACCGTGAGTACCATCACCATGAACCAAGCTCCATATATCGTGGACCGCAACAGCAAATGTCGAGCCGCCAGTTCACAATCTTCGTCCGCTTGCAACTTGGATGGCGGCGGCAGCGGTTGGCGACAGTTTTGCTGCTGCGTCTCACTGCCAACGACCACCACGGAAACGCCCGCCACAACCGGAGCCGCCTCATCCACCACGACCACGGAAGAAGGCGGTGGAAACAACGATCCCCACATTCAGTCGCTGAAGGGGGCACACTACACACTCCTGAAAGGCGGCAACTTCCTGGCATGGAGCTTTTCGAAGGGACCGGTGGACTGGCGGCTCTTGGCCAGCTATTCTGGCTCCAGAGCCTTGGCGAAAACTTGCCGAAATTGCAGTGTCGCCTACAGAAGTTTTAAATCTAAGATCCGAGGTAAGACCAGTTCCGTTGCTTTCCCATCCGTTTTGCCAAGGTTCCAGATTCACTCCACAGTCGCTGCTGCTTCTGGACCATTCAGGCCAGACCATGGAGTTCACAGCGGAGAAGTGTGAATGGCAGGCTCACTCCGAGGACGAATGGCGCCACGTGCGGGCAGGGTCACTCCTGTCCACCGATGGCTCCAACTGGGACACTTGAAGAGACGTGGCAGACGTTCTTGGTCGTGAAAATCCCATGAAAAGTGTATGAATTGGGTCGTAACAGTCCGTGTCTATAGGTCCTATCACTATGACTAAAGGCCTGAACTACCTGTTCGCATCATCATCCACTCTTACTGGTTTAATAGGACATACTTAAGATGTGTTTTTTCCCGAAAGCATTGCGAAGGGTTCTTCCGGAAAATCTCTTGAACACTGACACTTCTACACTTACACTCACACACTGACACTTCCACACTTGCACTTGAACACTGACATTTCGACACGTACACTTGAACACTTACGCTTCCACACTTACACTTGAACATGAACATGAAGACTTACACTTCTATACGTATCCCAGTGTAAGTGGAAGAGTGAAAGCGTCCAACGGCAAGTATTATCCAAGTGTAATGCAAGTGTGAGTATGGAAAACTTGCACGGGAGATGTCCTAATGAGTATGCAATGAGTATGCGAGTGTGAGTATGGAAAACTTGCACGGGAGATGTCCTAATGAAAAACATTTCCCCACTTTATATAATATCTCTCTTAAAGGCGGAGGGTGGGACGAACAGTGTCAACTGAAAATGCAACCCTCTGCGGAGATCGTGCGTGTCGAGTGCACGAAATGCAGGCGAGAGTGCGATCTGTCTGGTGTGCGCGCAACCCTCTGCGGAGATCATGCGTGTCGAGTGCGCGAAATGCATTCAGGCGAGAGTGCGATTTGTCCCATGCCCGCGCAACCCTCTGCGGAGATCGTGCGTGTCGAGTGCGCGAAACGCAGGCGAGAGTGCGATTTGTCCGGTACCCGCGCAACCCTCTGCGGAGATCGTGCGTGTCGAGTGCGCGAAATGAGAACTGGCGACTTGCTAGTACAACTTTAGTACGCGGAGCAATCTGTGGAGCTGGAAGCTGAGAACTGGCGACTTTGTAGTACAACTTTAGTACGCAGAGTATCTGGGGAGCTGGAAGATGAGAACTGGCGACTTCGTAGTACAACTTTAGTGCGCGGAGTATCTGGGGAGCTGGAAGATGAGAACTGGCGACTTTGTAGTACAACTTTAGTACGCGGAGTATCTGGGGAGCTGACTTGGTAGTACAACTTTAGTACGCGGAGTATTTGGGGAGCTGGAAGATGAGAACTGGCGACTTGGTAGTACAACTGTAGTAGGCGGAGTATCTGGGGAGCTGGAAGATGAGAACTGGCGACTTGGTAGTATAACTTTAAAATTTCTTTTAGTACGCGGAGTATCTGGGGACGGCCAGATGAGAACTGACGACTCTGTACGTAGTACAACCTTATACACTCAGTATCTGGGGAGCTGGAAGACGAGAAGTGGCGACTTTGTAGTACAACTCTAGGACGCGGAGTAACTGGGGAGTACTCGGAGTCGCGGAGTATCTGAGGAGCTGGACTTTGTAGTACAACTCTAGGACGCGGAGTAGCCGGGGAGCTGGAAGATGAGACCTGGCGACTCTGTAGTACAACTGGAGTACTCGGAGTCGCGGAGTATCTGAGGAGCTGGAAGCGGAGAACTGGCGACTTGGTAGTACAACTACTGGAGTACGCGAAGAGAAGAGCTGTGCGCTTTACTATTTCCCTTTACCGGTAGCTCAAATGCTCTCGAAGATGAGCTGAGCTGTCACCGCTTGGCCGCCGGTGGGGGGTTTCGGAGGCCTGCGAGCCACTTCCTTCACTATATCTACAGTGAAGACCTTCACCAGCAGCAGACATAGACAGGGACTCACACACAGAGACCCACGCACTGCCTCAACTTACTCGGACACACACACAGACAGAGACTCATACACACACAGACATAGATACACACACAGAGACCCACACACTGCCTCAACTCACTCGACTTAACACTTCACACTGAACACTTAACAGATAACTCAAACTCTGACTTCCTACGTGATGAAAAATGCTTTCGGGCCACTCGTCGTCTAGTTCCCGTAAAATCAGAGGAATTCTCAGTGATTTTGTTAGATGTTTGTTGAGTTGGATTTGTTTTCAGCGACAAGGATGTGCAGGAAGTGAACAAGAGGACTCAGGATCCCCTGAGCATGGAATCCGTGATCTTCTTGAACATGGACGAGGCTGGTGGTCCGCGGAAGGTTGCAAGGCTCCTTGTCCACTGCAGCCCCCAGGAGCATTTGAACTTTAAGGTGAGCGTGTTCGAGAAGAACGACATGGACCATGTGGGAGGTGAGCTTGGAGCTGTCCCTGATGCCAACAAGTCGTTGCACTTGAGCTTCTTGTCGGCCAAGCTTGGTTCCATGGTCACAAAGATGGACACCGAGTTTGAGGCTCGTCCGGAAAAATCAAGGCGAATTGATGGGCGATTTGTGTTGGATTGCGTTGGACTCATGTTCCCTCATGTTTCTACATGTTCTTCTTGTTCAAAGATGTTCGCGACGTGTGTGGGCGACGTGTTCTTCTTCACCTGCCGATCGATGGATTCAGCCCCAAACGGCGGAGGTGCCAGGCACCTGGCTGATGTTGGGTGGGAGTGAAGCGGCAGCAGCGTATTTGACGTCCAAAACCGTAGATGAGGGCATCGGAGCTTCCCTCCTCAGTACCAGCTGCAGTGATGTCCAGGAGCAAGAGGCAGACGCCTAGTTTTGCTCAGCATTCATTTCCCTCTTTCTTATAGTCATTCTTTTGATGTATCGTGGTGTGTTTGCGTAGTTGTGCTTTGAACGTAATTCGAAGCAGCACCTGGCCTCGTGATGGAGGCCTCATGTGTGCGGGCCAACGATTACTCTTTCATACCCTTTCCCTCAACAAATCCAAGGAGAAGATTTGTGCCAAGCACCTCCAAAAGGAGGGCCATCACGCAGAGATCTTCACAGACTGTGTCTTTGATGTTTGCCATGGAGGAGGAGAACAAGATGCCCAGAGTGCGGCCGCATTTATCTCAGCCTAGGTCTCCCCTAGGTCTCGCCAGATGTCCATTTTTTCCAATTGAAAAACGCCTGATCGGCCTCTTGCAGATGTCACGAAAGCGATCTCCGCAGGAGGTCAGCTGAAGCTCTAGTTCACGATTAGATGGGTCAAGATCGAAGGGATCAATTGAAAAATCACTACAAACGCCCCCCCGACCCCCCCCCACCCCCACTTCGTGTGAAGTGAATCAATAGATCCCCACCCTCCCCCCCCTTAACGAATTGAAGCGGTATTGATTAGGGGGGGGGCCCACCAAAGGGACACGACATCACAAACATCATCTTAGGGATTATTGTTAAGGTGTTTTCACGATCGTCGTGTCGTCGTCATCGCTTTCGTTCCCCGCCTCTCAAGTGAGCTATGGTGAAAATAGGTCAAAACATGTCAACACACATCTATGGTCTAGCAGGCTTCATTTGGTTCGCGATAGAAGGATGATCCAAGCTGGGTTCTAATCTGTTGCTTTTTGGCCATATTCTCATGTCCGGCTTGGACATTGTTTTCGCTTTTCAAGTTCTAAACTAGGTGTCCAAACTGCCTAAAAACCTTGCCTCGGACGACGCGAGTCAAAATGACCCGTGTCCAGCTAGTACCTAGCTGCATCTAGCTGCGGATCCACGCGCTGAGTTGGAACAAAGAGTCAATCATGTGTGCCATTCTTTTGGCATATGCTGTTTGCATGGAGCTTCTTAACCAGTAGCCTGGTCCAGCCTGGTTGCCTCCCTCCATTTGGTTGCCGATCCTTTGCGTACGCCACGTGGTTTTTCAACCCGTCTTTCCTGTGTTGGACCGGGCACCCAGTTGGCCACCCATTCGACGCATGTCGTGTCAACCAAACCACGTGTGTCGAATCGCTCCACGTCTCGCACCGCTTCACGCTTCATCGACCGTCGACCGTCGACCGCGAAGCGGCGCGACGCGAGCGACGCGAGGAATTACATTGTGAACGGCACGAAGAAGTGGATCACTGGTGGCATGCAGGGCACTCAGTGGTTTTTTTCGTTTCCCCCAACGAAAGTGGTCGGAGAACGAAGAGAGGGACGAAATGACAAGTTGCAAAGTGCTTGTGATATGAGAATAAAGCCACAAAGGATGTATACGCAACGTTGCTCCACCATGCCGCCCACCCCCTTCCTAGACAATCAGAAAACGATTCTCCCCGCCAGCTGGTCGCCTCCCCACAAGCGTCCTCTCGCCGTCCGACCGCCAGCCGTCCGACCGCGAGGTACGCGGACTGGTTTGTGACGGCGGTGCGCACGGGAAAGCCCGGCGCCGGCGGCATCTCGATGATGCTCATCCCCAGGCAGGGGCGGCGCTCGGAGAAGCGGCGTCCGGCTTTGGGTACATACCAGGTAGAGGTTTCAGTCGTGTTTCAGTCAGGTAGACTTGAACAGACCAGGGGTTGAATCACTTGAACTTGGACTTCAACATCTCCCACATCCACATCTCCCATCGCATGTTCATCGCTCTTTGCAGGTCGGATGCAGTGCAGACCAAGGTCATGAAGAGTAAGTACTCCTCGGCGGCTGGCACAGCCTATGTGACCTATGAGAACTGCATCGTGCCCAAGAAGTGCCATGGCCGTTTCTTTGGTTTGGGATGCTTTTCATTCTTTCCGATGCCATCCAAACAAACATAAACAAACATTGTAAAGCTAAAAAGGACCAAATCCCCTTAGAAACCATCAGTTCGAGAGAAGAACAACTTGCATCTTTGACGTCTTTTCGCATAGAATCGCACACAGGAATCTCATTGGTACCGAGAACAAGGGCTTCCAGATCATCATGTCCAATTTCAACCACGAGCGCTGGATGATCACCGTGGTTTGCATTGCGCGAGCGCGCATTTGCACTGAGGAGGGAGCGGAGACCTCGTCTGGTTCGATATGGATCGAGAAAGCGCCCAGCACTATCGAAAAATTGGTATCGAGGGGATAGTGAGCGTCCTTTTCTGCCAAAAGGACGGACGACCTGATCACATTGTTTTGGTCAGAAACCCTGGTGTTGATCCTGCAACTCGTTACTATGACTCAACAAACGGGGAAGCAAGTTCTCAAGCCTCCAAGAGTGCATCGCTACTAGGAACAAGTGCATCGCTACTAGGAACAAGGGCCTTACTAGTAGTAACAATGTTAGCTATAGAAGTCTAATTAAAGTCTGCTATTTAAATTAAAGTCATAGCTTCTTGTTTCTAATAGAAAACATTGTTACTACATGTTACTACTAGTAAGGCCCTTGTTACTAGTAGCGATGCACTTGTTCCTAGTAGCGGCCGGTATCAAGTTCTCAAGTCTCCAATGCCCAAGAGTTTCAGCCCTGGAAGATGATCTTCCATGATGTTCTACCTTTGTTGGGGGGAAGTAAATAGGAGTTTCATGTGGTTCTTGATCCGTTTGTTTCTTTCTTCTTTTACGGTGTTGAACATAAACCAAAGAATGTGTGGCAGCTAATGTGAAGACTGATCTGGCTGACTGCGGGATACTTCGAGAACCGCTTTTGGTTGCAAAAGGAGAGAAGGAACCTAGTAGCTTCTTGTTCCCAGTAGTCATGGCCTCCAACCTCATAGCGATGGCCTCCAACCTACTAGCTTCTTGTTCCTAGTAGTAATGCCCCTGTTACGAGTAACTTCTGGCTACTAAACCAAATGGGCCTTCTTCCAAAATCTCCCTTCAAGACAGCACGCGCCAATCGCATAGCGCCAATCGCCATGCGCAGGAGACCTTCAAGTGGTCCATGCAGCGTAAGGCGGGGCCGAGGGCCGAGGGCCCCGGGGAGGTTTGGCCCTCCGAAGCGGTCGGAGGGATCCCTCGAGATCTGAAGGAGGAAGAGATGGCAAGAAGATGATATGCCCCAGGACCTTCAAAGTGACCGTCCTTGAGATCCTAGAATGAGGTCACGAATCGTCCCTAAAGAGGTCACTTAGAGACTGCAAAGAGGTCACTTTGAATGTCCTGGCCAAGGCAGTTTAGCAGTGTCCATCTTGCCTTGGCGCAGGGAGATGTATCTCAACCAAAAGCAAGCCTGCCTAAGCGTTTGGTATCTCAAGGTCCAATCAGGTGCAATCCGATGGTGCATCTGAGAGATGGCATGCCACTGATCGTCAATGGTACCTTCGGAAATGCTGATATCATTTGTCTTCATTTCTGCGCATCTTTCGGTCTGAAGGCAGAACGAAATACATCGAGAATCATCGATCCTACCTCATCCTCTCAGTGCCTTCCTCTCATTCTTGGCACCATCAAAAGAACATCGCGACCGTGATGCGCGGCCACTCCGCATTTCTCACTGCAGCGCATCGGTCCATTTCCACAGCCAGTCACTGCTCGCACAGTCACGGTGTTTTCCTCTTGTGCTCCTCCCATGTCGAACTCACTTCACAAGACGGTGGTTGCTCAACCCCCCCCAGTGACGCCGAGGTCTTCGGGAAGCCCTTGGTTGAGCAGCCGGTGATCCGAGAGAAGTTGGCGCAGATGTTCGCGGGCGTCGAGACCTGCACCCAGATGCTCTACGCGGCTCGGCGGGACGGCGCAACACGGAGGGCGGGACGGCGAGCGAGCTTGCGCAAGTCAACGACGGGCCGTTCTCTTTTGGTCAAGAGGCCTCGACGGCGGCCGACAGCGGATGAAGCAGTTACACAGAGACTTCCTGGACGACTTTTCCAGATGGGGATCGAATGGGACCTGCAACAAGGCCAAGCCGGATGGCTAGTAGGATGGCATAGCGTTATGCACATCCATGTACGGGTCCTTCATTCAAACAAAATCGGTACAGAAAGGAAACAGTACCCAGACACGACCCGTTTGGGACTGCCATAGGACTGCCGCCCCAGCCAGACCCCGACTTCAACCACCCCTGGCCGTGAAACTCGGCAGTCCAAACTGGCAGTCCCAGACAGGTCGTGTCTGGGAAAAGGAAACAGTTACATCATCCGGCTCTGAGGACATCACCTACAACATGATTGGTATGGGCTCAGGCGGTGCAGAGGTCGGTGCTCGCATTGCCCTTCTGAAGTGGCCGGGACGTGATGGACCGGTGGGACCCGTGATGGAACGGTGGAACAACACGCGACGACCAACACGGTGTGGTCCCACCGGGTCGCGTGCGACTGAACCGTTGGGTTCGTTGGGACTGCTTTGCGATTTTCACAATGCAGGTGACGTGTGAACTGACATGTGATGAACCTTCAAGACTTGCCGTTGAAAGCCGCTGGTCTTTCTTGTGCTGAGAATATCCAAACATCAAGGGTCAAGAACCATGAACTTATAGGCTATGGCTCAACAAAACCCACTGGTCCACCGGTGAATGGACATATAGATATACAGATTACAATAATATAACATAAATATTATGACATAATATCATGGTCTAGCACCAACAGGGGGCTTTGGGTGTGCTCTTCTTTTCTTTTTTCGCTCACGGCCGCCACGACGTGACTCGCCCGGACGCCTCGCGACGCCTCGCCTTTTTGAGGTATCAGACCACCCGCATGAACCACATGGTGGCGGACAACGCTGTTCAGGCGCGCGCATGAAGCACCAACAAGTGCATCGCTACTAGGAGCGAGGGCCTTACTAGTAGTAACAAGAAGCTACTAGTAACAAGTGCATCGCTTCTAGTAACAAGGGCCTTACTAGTAGTAACAAGAAGCTACTAGTAACAAGTGCATCGCTTCTAG